GGATCAGAGATCTAAACGAATCCTGGTCCGTTTAAAGTGGAGCAAATGTGCACGTCTGAATACACCCTTGGACTTGGCTTGTTCTTATCGTATACTATATACTTTAATTAAACCACACAAGTACCAATACCTTTATTGTGTGGGCCTTTACATAGGCACTTTCAATATTCAAAAATTCAACTAATAAATCAATAGGGTATTTTCATTTGACTTTTATTTTCAAGTGACTCAGAAAAGTTACGAGTTATTAGTTATGTGTTTCTTCTATACACCAGACTTACCATTTGTAAGATAGCGATGTTATTTCCTTGAAATGTTTTGACAGCCAGCTTTTGTCTTCCGTCGAAACATGTCAAGGTAATAAAATTGCTATCTGGAAAATTCTCTGGTGTAGAAGAACCAAACAGACAACATGAACACTCCCTAAGCCAATTTACAAGTATCTGTGGAGAAGCCAGTCTTCTTTGTAAGCACCAAAATCATCCGTAATTGAACATTCCAAGCAAAGCAATAAAATTTCTTTGGCAATACCCCATCAGAACCCCATGACCCCATCACAAAGCTCCTTTAATGTTGTTGTAAAAAAAATCGAGAAAATTGTGCATGATGCATGAACGATGTGACAAAGTGTTTGTGGGGTTTAAAATCAGGTACCCCAGCTTTAATATTTGAGGTAATTGCATGCTACTGTTCTATTCATGCACATTTAAAATCTAGCACAAACCTTTAACTTTTTTTTTTTTTTTTTTTTTAAATGCTTGCTAATTAGACAAATTATTGTATCAATACTTAACGCTACAACACCTCTGTATTTCAAAACAAAAATAATTGGATAAAAGATAATTGATAAGATAAGCGTACAAGAATGTCCATTTACCCGTAATGGAAATACCTCATTTAGATATGTTACAGTTGTCAATACAATGCCCATATTTCTTCCTATAGAGATTACTATTCCATTATTCATACACGCATCAATAATACAATAAAGGAAAATAGAAATGAATGCTTCACTTTCTCTCCGTTCATGATGGCTGAGCCGGAGCTGCACCTGTGTTATGTAAGCCATGCGAGAGGACCGTCCCGGATCTCTCGCGCTCTGTTCCTGTCATTGATTTTCCTCCCCCCCTCCCTGTGCTCTTCCTGTTGTTCCTGGTCTGGATGTGTTCGTCTGCTCTCCTGACACTCGCCCTTTCATCCACGGATTCTCTTTGACACAAACCAACTCCGGCTCCTCACACTGCGCCAAACAGAACCCAGAATTGAATGCATTCTGTCAATGTAAAAACTGCAATGTGACTGTGGGCTTAAAGGGAAAAGGGTAAGTTTAGGCTCTGATATTGTTTTGTGATTCGACAAAAGTTAAAACATTGACGATGGATGATTGACAACCTCCACTGCTCACACTGATTTGTGTGCTATCATGAATAATACCTATGTGCATGTCAGAATCTGAATTATTTGATTGCCTTTGAGTCAGGAATACCCAAAAGTTTATAGCTGTGGAACACCCTTTTCATTGAAATCAATCACATGACACATCACCCACTGAAACCGATACAAAAAAGAAAAGCCTTTATAAACAATACAAAGCCATTCTCTCAATATACTCTCAAAGTGTATTGAATATAAATTCAAACAAGCGCAAAAAAATATTCTCTAATCTTCTCACATTATTTTAGGTGACATTGGATAATGTCACCAAACAACCTAACATGACACACTGGTTGAAAAACACTGCTGTATGTAAAAGGAAGTCAGAAACTGGCTTTTTCTGGTGTTTATTTTCCAATAATTATTTTACATACATAGTGTATAACCCACTCCGTTTATTGTACAGCCACCAAACATGAAAGCCTTCTGGAACCACCCGTAATGCTGTAGCACTTTATCCATGGCGGAGATGAGTGATTTTGATGCTTCTCTGAGGTACCATTTGTGCGAGAGAACGGGAGGGCGAGGGTTAATCCAGGAGGAACCCACTGCATTCCTGCACACTCAGCACCAATCCAGCCCAGGACCTGTGCTTCTAAGTGGGAGACGCTGATCAAAGCGCGAGGAGAGCACCCGGAGGATTCAGTACGTCACAGAGATCAGCGTTGCACGTCCTGTTCGGTTTTTTCCCAGCAGGCTTTGGTGATGGGACGCGGCGGTTCATACAGGAGGTCCCCAGGGTCCCAGTCGATTGAATTCGTAGCACGTGGTGAACCAGGAGGAGTAAATGATGTTTGACTATCTCGCTTCACAGAGACGCAGTGATCTGTGCGTTTGATTCGTAATGAGGAAGGTGCAGGACGGAGTGAAGGCAGTGAGGAAGGCTGTTGTTTCAAATGAGCATCACATCTTCAAAGGGGCTCTCTGTGTTGGCTGGTGGTACTTTGGACTGATACTGTGTGTAAGTCCTAACTCTGCCTCAGCTTTGTGTCCCTAAGAACACTTTAAAACTAGAAAATGTGAATAACAGGGCTGGGAAATTAACCGATGCATTATTTTGAATTAAAATGCAGTCCTTTCGAATGGGCAATGATCAACTTTGGTCTTTTAAAATAAAAGCTCTCCAGGGTAACAACCATTTTAGTCATATTGTACAGCCAACGAGGCCTCTTTCCCATTACACTGATTGTGCCAAGAACATAATGTAGCCAATTTTTGGTTTGAACTGTGTGTTGCAACACTGGAGGCAATGCAACGCATACAGCATGTTTGCATAATAATCTGATCAATTATGTAATAGGTTTTTCAGGACTGGTGATATTAACTTTAGCCTTTAGCCTAACATTAGCATTTTGTGATAATCAATTTAATTCAACTCTATTTATAGAGCACTTTAAAAACTATAGAAACACACTATAGAAATACAATTTAATTTAAAAAAAATATACAAAGAAAAACATATACAAAGAAAGTCAACCCAGAAGTGACTTATAAGTAGGAAGTGATTCCGCCAGTCTAATCAATTGCCTGACATTGCAAAACTCTTTTTTACTGAAAACTATTGGGATGAATACTCTAACACAGGGGCGTCCAAGCTTTTTAATGATGGGGCCACATTTGCTCACTGGAGTTCTGGGGACAACAACCTGAATTCTAAATGAACCTTACTGAGACTTTTCTGAGCTTCATAATAAGGAATGACAAGTCAATATTATTGACCCCCACAGGCTCTGTTAGGCTAAAGCTAGGCAAAATGCTAAATGCCTCACTCACTCAGGCGCATTACATACATCATGGCAAACTCAGATCCAATAGGTTCAAACTGCAAAAGGAGTTAACCCCTCCCATCTGTTAACGGAGATATATAGAGCAAATCCAGACCTAAGTACAAAATGAACTGAGTACGATGGTATGGACCCAGGCTAGGTTACCAAGGCACAGTGTTGGGCACGTTACTTTGAAAAAGTAATTAGTTATAGTTACTAGTTACTTCTCCCAAAAAGTAACTGAGTTACTAACGGAGTTACTCCACTATAAAAGTAACTAGTTACCAGTAAAAGTAACTATTGCGTTACTTTTTCGTTTTGTTCTGGAACATAATGTGCACTCGACGTGCGCATTTTTACCTTTAACCTCAGTGAGTCTGAAATATTGCCAATAATTCCATCTAGAAAAGGCTGTTTTTCTGCTGAAGTCCTCTTCATCTCTCTCTAGACACCAACACGCTCCACTGTGAATGTGGAAACACCGGTGAAGCACTGACTTCAGTCCAATCAGATGAACATATACATCATATAAATCAAGTGGACAATTTGTTTGGCTACAGCAGAATATGTTTCATGGCCGCATTGTTTGTTCATACAAAACGCAAAACTATGAGTTATGGGTCTTACCTTATAAATGACCTGCACAGACCACTTCAGTTCAGACCAGTTCTGTGTTTAAGTCCAGATAATAGTTTGAGCGTAGATATGTAATCCTCCGTTTGGAAATGAGTTTTAAAAAGTAAAACAAAACGCGTGTGTCCTCCGTAAACTACTCTGTTTTGCTAGATGCAGCCGGGTGCATCCAATTTCTAAAATCAACCGTCTTACACTTCACCTCTCTTTCTTATCATTCCTATAGTCATTGAAAAATTACCGTAAGTGCATTTAATTATCTTAAAATGTGTTATATGTATGTTAGCCAAACTTGTTGCAGCCCTTAGCAGATAAACCAGTAAGAGAAAGGAGCTTTCAGATGGAATTGTATGCAGCCGACTTCTGCGCTCACATGCGCTCCTCTGAGCCCTCACGGTGATACAAGCCGTGGTTGAGCGCGACTAAGACCCATATTTATTTCAAAAACACAATTTATGACCATCCTCTCAACTGTAGACATGTGGATTGTAAAGGAAATATGTTTTACATCAGCCAATAATTGCTGAGAGGTTTTCTCATCCTCCCTTCTCTCATGACAACACGCGCACAAGTCCTATCACGAAGTAAAAAGAAGTTCATTGTACGTCTTTAGTAACGCGCAGTAACGGGATGTCGGAAATGATAACGGCGTTATAGTTACAGTCAAAGTAATTAGTTAGATTACTCGTTACTGAAAAAAGTAACGGCGTTAGTAACGCCGTTACTAGTAACGCCGTTATTCCCATCACTGCCAAGGCAGCGTATTAAATGACATCAAGGACTACAATTGGAACACGGGCCGAACATATCTGCCTTTGCTTGTCCGTATCATTCAACTCAATCCACCATTTCACCGAGATTTAAGATATGATTATTGGGTATAATTGTATAAGTAGAAGCCTTCATAAATCTCTTCACAGGGACATTTAGTTAGTCTGTGCTCCTTAGGAAAGAGCTCCCACACTGTTTGCTTTCCCCGCCAATACAGCACCTCATTGAGTCAAATTAGAAAAGATTAAACAGTTTGTCTTTGCGTAAGGATTTTGGGAGAATCCTTGATGAGTCAGAGTCAGTGGTTATTTCAGGAGCTGTAAATCTCTCCTCTTTTGTTTCAGCGCCCCACACATACAATAAGTGTTATCATACCTGCGCTGGCTTACCTCATTGTCATGTGTCTGCAGGCGGAAAGTGAGAACGGAGATATTCTCTGGAGCGGATATCAGCCTACAAGTACACAGAATAGAATTGTTTAGCTTTTAAATAAATCAATACATTAGGTCATTTTTGCATCAGTTTGCTATTTCAGGGGTTCCCGAATGTTTTAAACCTGGACCCACAAAATAGGCATGAAACCGACTCGTGACTCCACTGAAAAAGGAGTCGATGTCTAATGTTGTTAGATGGGAAAGTTATGGAATGCCTAAGTATGGATGTTCCGTTGCAACTGGGGTTTCCGGCACAGACATCTCTTAGGAAATCATGCTCACTAGCACAAAGACATTGTGTTTTTTAATGCTTTTATTAGAGTGCTGCTATTCAGGGATATTCAACATATCAAGGACAATAGGGATGCTAACAAAATGGAGCAAACTGGGCAACAGATGGGGGTCAAATACACCACTACACCTTACGTTACATCACATGAGCACCGGTCCAAAGCGAGGAAGCAAAGGAAAAACTGTTATCTTCGACGGGTGAGAAGAGAAGCTTAATAGGGTAAGCGCCTACATACTTAGAAGAAAGAGTGAAGTTAGTAGTTACTTAGAGAATAGCTTACTCATAGATAAGTTCACTCTGCAGACTGGAATTAGATTTTTCTTTCTTAAATTTCATAACGCAGTCATTATGGACATTTATCAACACTTATGGACATGGGTTAACTCCCCCCTAAGGACCAAACCCAATGTGTTCTCTACTCTGTGTGTTTGAGCTGTCTGATTCTCTAATCTGTGTTGGAAAACTCAACAGTTTTGTTAAGTCCTCTAAGATAACTACTGTTGCGATTTAGGGCTATACAAGAATACATGGAATTGAATTGAATAACTTAATGAAACACTCACCCTGCATTCTGGAAAAATACAAATACCTGAACCTGTACATGCACATTAATACATATTACATAATTATCTGTAAAATCACAGCTAGTCAGACAGGATGAAAATATAAACTTTGTTCTTTAATGGTTTGAAGATCACACCCTCGAGTCGATTGGGTATTTGGAGTGAATGGTGATGAGAGACACATCAGTTCTGTCGTTTTGATCAGCACTTGATTTCAATTGAGATCTTGAACCTGCTTGGATCAAACCATTTATCTCTCCCATCTCGTTTTAGATCCTTTAAATGGAAATCCAGTAGCCTCCTGAGACTGCATGATGTATTGTATGCATGAGTGACAAGCAAGCAAGCAGCATTACCGGATTAAACTTATACTCAAAGTACATTTTCCAATACGAATCAAAGAGAGCCAAAGCCCTAGAGTAGGCTATAGTAGTGTTTTTTTTTCCAACTATATGGTAATTTATGAATTTACATAGCAAGTGATGTTCTATGGTGATAAACAGCTATGGTTAAAAAGAGTTGAAGAAGGTGGATTTACACACATGTACAGGGATATGATTGGCAGGTGGGCGACCCTCAACATATTAAGGTCATTTGTTGGGTAGTGATTGCGAGACAAGACTCCAAGAACATGGGAATTTATTCAAGCTTATATGTCAACAATCAGATTGCGGAGACGTTTTTAAGGAAAGTTTATGAATACTCAATTTATGCCAAACACAGTCAATTTAAAGTGGTCCAAGGGGTGTATCTCCATCTGGTGTAATATCTACCGTAGTTCACATGTTCTGGCCCAGTTCCAAGATTCAACAATTTTGGAGTTGTATGTGAAGCATTCGGCTCCATATGTGGGATTAATATTGCACCTGGCCCCCTGATTCTGTTTGGGGTTGAATGTATAGCTGCTGTGTGTCACAAACATATTGCCTTCTCAAGTTTGATGGGTTGATAGGGCTATAAGTTTGATTGATTCTGCTGAGGTGGAGGGATGCTGCCCAATCCACAGTCTCCCACAGTATTCACTCACTGTTATTTCATCTTAAATTTGAAAAGATAATAAGTCTTTTAAGGGTTATCAAACAGGACATTGTGAATACCAAAGTCAGATAAATTAACATCAGATTAAGATCCAATAAACTGTGCTAACTGCTTATTTTTGTGCCAAAATCCAATCCCAAGGTATGGATTTTAAAACTAAAATGCGGTATGAAATGTTGATTTTGGTAATCATATTAGTGTGAAAATAGGGGAATTGCCCATTAAGCGTGTAGTTTAAGAAAGTAAACAAAACAAAAAAATCTGAAACGTTAGAATCCCGGGAATAACCTTGTCACAGCAGTCACAGCAGCAGGAAGGAAAGACCTGCAGTCCGTTAGAAACATAGAGAAACTTAGAAAGAATCACTGTTCTGTGTGAAGGAGAAGTTCTTTCTAAGTTTCTAAGGTTGCGCAGGTCTTTCAGACCGTACAACGAGAACTGCTGAGCCTGTAGCCTTTTTCCCTTAAGACGAACTTTTTCATCACAATTTCATGACAACGTAGATATTTTTGTGGCTTCATCCACATGCATGCGGATATATCTTCTCTAAGTTTCTCTCTCTACTTATTCAAAGAGACAAACAATCACACAAACGTCTTGGTACAACGACCACACTGAAAGACCACGACTGCACTCACACTTATGTCCATATCCTGGGAATACCTGTGCTGCAGTGTGCGATTTAATTATTTCAAACTGGCCAATAGCCTGGAAACTCGGGCCAACATTTTTGCATACATTTGGGGGCCTATCATAGCAATCACAGAAGAGGGAGGCACGGCAAAATGATCATGACACACTATTTCACAGCTGGGAGCTTGAAGTTTGATTTCAGATCCAACGAGAAAGCAGCTTCATGTTTAATAATAATGTATCAGTTTTATATAGTGCTTTTTTGGACACTCAAAGACGCTTTACATGACATTATTCTTTCACTCCATACACGGTGGTAATAAACTACTACTGTAGCCACAGCTGCCCTGGGGCACACTGACAGAAGCGAGTCAACCAGTATGTGCCATCGGCCCCTCCGACCATCACCAACCAGTCACACACACTAGACTCATTCTAGGCAATGGGGGTGAAGTGTCTTGCCTAAGCACCCAACGGCAGTTTGGCACTTTACAGCCGCAGCCGCCCCACTGTGGCATCAGGTGTTCCCAGAGGTTAAGTGTCTTGCCAAAGACACAACGACAGCAGACAGTGGGTGTCGATGGTGAAAGTCTTGAGGTGGGCTCGAACCCACGACCTTCTGGCTCAAAGGCCAAAGTTCTACCAACTGAGCTACTGACGCCTGGTGTTTAGCAATAGTTATATATTGTTCTGGACAGAAGTTCCCACCTCAAGCGGCTGTGAGCCGCTAACAACAACACGGCAAATGGCGCCGCTGTAACGTGATCCAAGACCATACACGCACAGAACTATTCTCTGCATGTTGTGTGCATGTCTTTGCGTGACCTGTGCATGCAAATACACCGCTGAAGCTGAACTATGGAGCCTCAGGAAGTGTCCGTGTCTCCTCCTGAAACGCAACTAAACTCGCTAAATTACAGCTGAGGTACGTACATTTTCCCTTTCATTAACAGCTCATGTCGGTTGTGCCCAAAAGTAAAAGGCTTTGAGCAAATCAAAAAGATTTAAGTACATTTGGTATGAATGACAATGTGTCATAACGTTTGATAATCTCATTTTTCAATTGGAGTGGATTTGAAATCGAATGTTAAAAATGTGATTAATTGTGAGTTAACTCACCATTACTATGCGATTAATCAACTAAAAAAATGTAATCGTTTCAATAGTTTTAAAAATGTGATATTTCATGTAAATAATGCATGTGTTTAATACAATTGATATATTTGCTATGGCCCTAATTTGTGCATTTTAAGTAATTTTGAAGGTGCATTGTTTCACTGTAAGTGAAGTTATTAGAAAACTGATAAGCTACATTCTCACGGTTTACAATGGCAAGGGCCATCTCGTTTACAAGCATGTTTTAAGGCTTATTTTCCTGTTACACTTATGCTCCATGTGCAAATTTATGGTTCCAGTCTTGCATTTTAAATATGTTCCTTTAAAAAGTGAACAAACTTTTACTTATGACACACCAGTAATATAAATTGAATAGCTAAAAAAATTATAAAGACAAGATAAAAACACATTTAAATAAAAAAAAATTGTTATTCAACAGAGTCTTGACTTTCATTTCAAGGTGAACAGGCACTGATCCTGGTCTGACTGATCTTTTCCTACACACACACACACGAACACACACACACAAGTTGTACTGTATAGCGTTCTTGCAGTGGCCTAAGGCAGCTCTTTATCGAACAGCCCCAAAGCACTTACAGCGCTACAGCTCTGTCCATATGCCCTCTGTTCACTCTCCCACACAACCTGCTTCTTCCACAAATATGTTTACAATACTGTTTCTCCTCTAGCTCTTGCTCTTGACCTGTAGCTTGTGATCTAAGCAAAATTCACAAGTCTAGAGTCTTTTCTTTGTTGAGGACATTTGTATATGTTTTACGTCAAGGCAATGCATACATTTTTGACAATAATCTACATTAATGGGACTGAAAAGTACACTAGGTGAAAAAGAAACACATTATTTAAAAGGAGCTTTGGAAAATACAAATATTACAAGGTAGAGGAAATTGTGGAGGTTAACTTTATCTACTTAGAAAGAATTACTGTTACTACTTCACTATGTGTGAAGGAGAGGCTCTTTCTAAGTTTCTCTAAGTTTCCGCAGGTCTTTCCTTCCCGCTGCTGTCACACTGTACAACGAGAACTGCTGAAACTATAGCCTGTTTCTCTCTAATAAGAACTTTTTATCACAATTTCAAGGACAACATTGATATTTTTGTTGCTTCATCCACATGTTACGGTCTTGCTTTGTGACTCCAGCGCAGACCAAATAAAAATGTAGAATATCTCTTCTCCAAGCTTTTCTTTCTATTTATTCATAAGAGTCTGATCCGTTTGATGCATTCACACAAACGTCTTGGTACAACGACCACAGTGAAAGACCAACTGCTCTCACATACACAGCTGTGCGTTTGCTTTAACATGAGATCGTAATGCTGCTTTAGGTAAAAGGAGAAAAAAAATCAAAGAATAACATGA